GGGCAGACGCGCTATGGTGAGTAAATGCTCTTTTTTTTCGAGTACGATGTTTCTAAATGGCTAATTTGAATCATTTCAGTGTCGAGAAGGAGACTGAACACAAGATAGACCGCCATCAGAAGAACAACAACCGTAAAATGCAGCGTCACCAGGAGAATGGAAAAAATGTTTTGGTCCCAGGTTTTATGCGCCGCCGACAACTACTAGGAGTCGAACTGACTACTATGCCTAGTCAATATGCGTAAGGACCACCGCCTAATGCATATGCTCCTTGTCCGCAGCAATAACGGTATGGAGGGAGTGCAGCTCCATTACTTGATGGAGTTGCGACAGGAATTGTTTTGGATAAAACATTCTGATTGTAGGCAGAAGAGAGGAAGGACTAAGATCCCGCTTTCAGACACTTTTCCTTCTTGAGCGTCTGCTGGTAGTTTGATGTTCACTGATACTTCCTTGTACATATGTACGGTACTTATCTTCTCATGATACAATTGCATCCAGTATCCAAGTTATCGCCACCGGAATAGTCAGGAAAGTAATCTTTCATGGGTATGGTTTGCAACTCTCTCGCAAAAATATCCATCTTATTGAGAAAGGAGAAAGAGGACCCAGTTGCCGATACATGTCTCTCTTTTACGAAATAAACCGAAGTGATTGTGGTTTCTCGAGTCTAAGGGAGCGATGAAAGCAACCGGGGACCACTCAATTGAAGGACCCGCAGTATTTGGGACCTGTAGCTAATTTCTACTACTGAAATCACCGAACCAACTGGTATGTGAGTGTGCATAGATTAAGCACGAGCACCGACGGTACTCCGTTCAACGAATCGACAAGTAATCAAGTATGAAATCCGGTTACAAACACCCAAGTACTCAGATACTCGCATCAGCAATCGCTGGCGTCCGTCCAATATCGTTTGAAGCAACCAAACAAAAAGGGCGAGGTTAGGTAGTTTGGTTGTGAAAGTAGGTAAGTAAGTAATTACTGTAAGAACATGAACATGATGACGTTGAAATAAGTTATGTATAGGGGAAGATAATAATACGTTTTGGGTCAAGCAAGCAAGAAGATTTTTCGTGAACGACCTGATACAACGACGGGAGTCCTCGGTACTTCGAGTGATGAAGATAAATAAAGAGAAGGATAAAAAACCAAGAAGTTCTCGAGTGTATGCGTAAACTTTTGATCCTTTAAACACCATAAACCACCCGTAAATGAATGAAAAAGAAACCAAGAACAAAAGAAACAACAACGAATGAGCTAACGAAAACCCAAACCCAAAGAAATACAGACAAAACGTCCTGCAGTCGCCTACACCAAAAGCACTAAAACCGCTACTGCCAACGCCATCCAAAACGTCCTCATCATCCACACACAATCCATCGCAATCGCGCCATTCCCCGTTGAATCTGCCAGCGAGCTAGTCGACTGCTGCGCATAAGAGCTTCCACAGGCACTAGCTGCCAAACTCTGGGCTTTCGCATACACCGACGCCAGTTCCGACATTTCTGATGCATTCGCATTGAGGGCATTAACATATAGGGACATCAGAGACTTTGTGCAAGAGGAACATGTGAGAGTTGATGTGTTGGATAGGCTGACGCCCTCGGGAAGAGAGTAGAAGTAGAGATCGGAGGGGTTGGTGTTGTGGGCGGCTTTGACGTAACAGTAAGAATCGGTCGAAGGATCGGTTAGGCAGCCGGTGCTGTAGGTGAGTGAGTAGGATTCCAAGGCTAGATGAAAGGGTGTGAGTTGAAGATGATATTTTCGGGAGGGTGAAGGAATCTCATCTCACCTTGTAAAGTACTAACAGCATTCAAATTATTAGCTGCTAGATCTGTAGCACAAGCTGATTGGAGGGATGACGCAAACGTCGCCATGTTAGTTGTACACTGGTCCAGGCCCAGTGTCGGATTACATGTGCCCCAGACGACATCATTCAGAGCCGACAAGTTTGATTGAAGCTATGGCACGCCCAAGAATCAGACATGGAATAGAATGAACTAACAGAAGCAACGTACATCCGCAAAAGTGTCACTGGTGCTTTGTAACAGTCCAAAGGGCCTGCAACTCCTAAAGCTATCCGAGTTGGTCATGGTGAGGAAGAAGTTGTAACATGACTGGGTGGAGAAATTTTGAGCAATATCAGAGTCCCAGGGTTGCGGGAATGGGGTAGGAAGGATTGGGGCTGAAATTACAAGTTAATAAGTGAGCAAATCATATAAAACAAAAACGTACATGTGGTAGGAACAGTCGGTAAATTTTGTGCGGTCGCCGGTATGGTTGACGTCGCCGTCGTTGAAGAGGTAGTGGACGCCGAGGTCGCCGTAGGAGTAGCCAGCTCGGACGCCGTCGCTGATACACCAGAGGCAACGACGGTGGTTTGACGCCGCAAAACACCCTCCTTCGATTCTACCACAGTGGCTTCAGTCGGAAGCGGGGAAGCTTGATGGTGAGCGTGATGATGGGGATGTGATGACGAGTGTGGTTTCAGCCCATCCAAGACGAGCTCGAACATGTCGTGCTCATGCCCATGATAACCTGCTGGGACGCTCTCCTGTGGCGGCCTATGCCCATTTTGAATCCATCCAGCCATTCCCAGTAGCTCGGCCGTACAATGATTGCTCAGTGTGACCAAGGCTAATACGATAGGTATTGAGATAGCAGTCCATTTGATATGGCGGCCAATCCGACGTTTAGCCTCAGATCCGGAGCAGTTTTGGGATTCGTAGTCCGAGTCCTTCATCAAAGGAAATGACTTGTGAGGACGGGATGGAGGAGATGATAGTTTCATCGGTGTTGTTGATGATAACGAGGATAGATTTCGAGTCGTTGGCGGTGGATGAAACGAAGAACCTGAAGGGGAAGGACCTGACGGGTCTAATTCCGAGGACGTCGTACGAGCGAGCGAAGGCCTCGACTGACGCTGCATCTCTTCCATTGCTCGTGGTGAGGGAAAGGGAGAACCAGGTGGTGTAAACATCGGTGCAATAGAGGTTTTGAAGCCTCAATCAACGGACTGATGCTGATATAATAGTTTGTTGTTCGTCCGGGTACAAAAATAAGAGAGTGTGTCGGGAAAGCGAGCGTGAGTGGAAACTGTAGATTTATAGATGGGGTTGAAAAGTTGTGGCGAAACCTGGGGGAAACTAAGGTAGAAAGTCAGCTGCTGTTTACTATTTTGAACGCCAAATGCCAAGGCACATCACACAAGTCAATCAAGACATGAAAATAAACAACATGCAAAACCGTGTAAACGCCAATGACTGCAGTCGAGACGACCACGCAGAAGCAAAGAAAGCAGAATTAGTCGCATGCCGACTCACCGGACAGAGTGGCGACAAGAATCAAAACGTGTTAATAGTTCCAACTTTGTTTTCGTACAGAGTTTCTGCGTCTGTGAACAAGAAAGTGGTCAGCATGAGTCTTGAAGGAAAGCAAAGGGAACAAAGTCCAGATTTTCAAGCATTGTTATAACGAAAACTAGATCAAAACTCACCTGCTAGTGCAGCGCTAAATTCCTTCGGTCCTTCCGCAAGAGGAATAGATCCAACTCTGACCGTGCTTCCCAATAGCTTTGATCGACAAAAGACAGAGTGTAGGGACAGTAGAAAAGTCGTCCCAACTGGCAAAAGATCGCTTCTCGACTGTCGGCTCGAGTCTTTCGCTACTGAGCTGAGCACCTCCTGCAACTTCTCCGTTCTATAAAGCAAATTAAATAGTTAGTTAGTGGTGAGAATTTCCTGGAAAGAATGAAAGTAGAAATAATTCTAACCTTTCGACTGCAATGACAATCTGAGAAAGAAAGCGAGTCGTATTTGAATTCAAGGCCCACTGAAATTACCTCATCAAGGGACGTACGAAACCAATTACGTACTACCGTATTTCCGAGATCTTTTCTCCGATTCTCCCTTATCCCCCTTTTCGTCTGTTCCTCCTGAATGCTCTTCTTGCGAGCCTGCAAGGTTCAGTCTGTCCAATGCTTAATAGCTTCGCGCTCAAAATCCTCCGTCCAGCAATACGGCGTAGACGCGCGCGCGATCCCGGACTATCCAAGGGCGCTACAATCCATCCATCACAAGAAGCCACCCTCAAACGTCCAACTCGAGTTAAAATGGTTAAGTTGCACAGCCTTAGGACTTACTGTTCGCGCTCAGTGCTACTGCCTTTAGATTCATCTACATTAATATAGCACGAGAGGCGACATAGTTACTTAGCTAGTAGGTCCTTCAATTGATCTCTGCCCGCGCAGATGTATCAGCTCCGAATCTTCCGATTCCCCTCTCCAAAAAGCCGCGAGTTCGAGGGATTCGGGAATGTCATATGTACATATGTCACTCTGAAGCAAGTCGCGACAGGATTCTTGCTCCCTCCAGCGCTCAATTCTCCGAAAAATAATCACAAGCTATACATAGGTTTACAGACTACTGCTAGCAGGAAGATCGGATGCCAGGCAAGTCTCGGTATTATCGACCTGCTGGCGCTGCAAGTAAGAGTTTCGACTTATCTTTCGGTGGGCGTTGTTTTAGCACCAGCATTCTTCATTCAAACGTTTGAGAGAAAAAAAACTAACGCCCACCGGCCCTCACTGTAGGCTTGAGGCCGCCTTCAGAGTTAAACAACGCCGAATCCAGCTTTTATATTAAAGAGAATTCTCGCACAAACAGCAGCTCAAATGCACGTGTGCTGCACAATCTCGCCAGAGTGGTGGGGTTATATGTCCATGATTAGAGGCTCCTATTCTGCTACTACTTACTTCGACTTGGTTTGACACTACCGTACAAAAATTGACATCCGCCCTTCGAAGTCCGCGACAAAGTATGAATTGCTTTCAGCACATACATATTCATGTCCGAATATTTCCGTTAATTGCATCGTTGTCCGCTACTGCCACTGAAGACTTTGAACGCTTCAGCATACCTCATTAAGTTTATGACTTTTGGCGCACAGGACTACTACATTTTGGTTACATGGAGATGCTATAAACCAAGGTTGTCATCGGGCGTATGGTCTAGAGGTATGATACCTGCTTTGGGTAGTAATCAGAGTTATCTGAATCCATTGCAGGGGGTCTTCGGTTCGAATCCGGATTCGCCCCATTTTTTTTTCTTTTCTACTTGAAAGCATCCAAGCATTTTTCTCTTCATATTCATTATCGTACAGAGTGCGGACGTGCCATTCCCCATTCCCCAGGTCTCTTTATCATGTTCTTACCTTGTCGGTCTTTACTGATGCACAATTAGAGTGGAATTCTTAACTCCCCCGGGGGCGGCCTTCTCCAAATCATACCGTACGGATCCGATTTCGAGTTGTCTGTTCATTTACCGCTTAATACTACCTCTGTTTCCGGTGAGCAGTTGACACTGTGCATGAGTGTCATAATTCATTCATTACTTATTAGTCTCGTCACGGTTAATCATTGGATTCAGCACCCATGGTTTATCCATAGACTCTCCACTGAAGTCAGTGTTCAACCAAGGCGTACCGAGTATAGTGAAGAATTGTGAGTATTGGGGAGTCTCTGCCTGTTGAGTGGGTAGCAAGTGCACAGTAGGCTTACTTTTTACGCTCTTTCCGAAGAATAACTGATTCAATCTAAAGTTTGCTGCTGGCTACTCAGGCCTGCCGCCGTGTTTAATTACAGCGATCCCACTTCGTAATCAAGATGCAACCTCGTCGCTCTCGTAGCGGCTAATTTGTGAACATTCATTGTTGGAGACGTTCAAGGTTAACCGTAGTACTACTTTTCTACGCACATGTATATGTAGATAGTTGGCTTCTATTCAATTGTCCGCAACAACAATAACCTTCTTCCCTTTATTTTTACCAACCTGAACTTCGAGTATCGCTTTACCGGCATTCTCCAACCCGCGTGTCATATCCTCAGTGTACTTGAATTCACCGCTGGCGAGTTTCTTCGGTACCACCGCGTAGAAATCCTCTTCCCATTTGGGAGCTAGATCAGCGAAGAGGAACCCGTATAGGATAATGCGAAGGGCATAAATTTGGTCCAGGTTCTGTACAGCACACAGAGTCAGTAAACAGTGAAATAAGACTCGGCGTTCCACGAACCTTCATATTCACACCATCTTTGGAGTTGTACTGCGAGATGGCACCACATTCTATGAATCGGGCGTGTATGGCAGCGTTCTCAATCGCCAAATCTAGGGTAGTTCCACCGACGTTATCCCAATAACTGAAGATTGTTAGTCAAACCATTTGTGTCTTCGAAGATACGTGTATACTCACACATGCAATGGACCCTCTTTCTTGAGTATATCAGCTGTACTCTCGGTCTTGTAGTTGAACGCCACATCTGCTCCAACGTCTTTGAGGAACTGGACCTTTTCATTACTGCCAGCCGAGGCGATAACTTTGAGGCCATCTTGCTTGGCCAGTTGAATGACGAGACTACGAACCCAAGGGGTCAAAATCAGCTTTGGTGCTCAATGGTCATCCAAGCGCAACTGACTGACCTTCCAACGGGGCCTGCTCCTCCAGAAACGAAGACAGTTTCGCCCTAGAGAAAGAAGATAGAATTAAGTTGAATGGAGATATGGAAAATGAGGAAGGACATACTGCTTTGGCGTTGGCGTATTCTTTCCAACCATAGTACGCGGTTTGACCCGGCATACCTCCCGCACCTAAGTACGCCGAATAATGGAGACCAGGTTCGGGCTTCAAAACCATCATCGGGAATGGATGGTCATTGAACACGAAATATTCCGCGTGGTCTAGCGCATAACGTATAATTAGCCAGAGAAGGAGCGTGTAGGAATCATTGGAGCGAATGCACTTACACAATATGCTATATACGATATCACCAGCTTTGAACCCTTCCTTCTCAGAACGAATAACTTTGCCCACACCGTAAGTGAAAAGTCTATGAAAGGGAACCAATGAGCTCAAGAATGCATCGGAAGGTATTAGCGACACTCACGGTTGACCAACGATGAAAGGGGGCTAAGTAGATAGTGGGTAAGACGATTCAGCACGAGGGAGAATGATGTTTTTACCCACCATGTAACCTTCCACATCAGCAGGGCGCATCTGCACCCTATTGTAGGGGTCCGCGGATAGGAGCAAAACTTTCAACAGGACACCGCCATTGAGAGGATCGTTTTCCAAATCGATAGTCTGGCTGGTATCATACTTGAAGGTCTTGTCTTCAGGAAAACCTACATCCAGATTAACACCGATGTGAACAGTAACGCGAAAATCACTTACCGGCAGGTATTTCGTTGAACAAGAACCGTGTGTTTGTAATGCGGACCATGGTTATACTGTAGATCAATTTGAAAGGCGAGGGGAATTTCCTGCGTTAGACATCGAGCAACCCGAGTTATAAAGCTTCCTGAATTCGGTGATTACCAACCCATAAATCTGCTAGCAAGCAATCTGTTTAGTGCAGCGGACTAGAGAAAGGCCGTTATGATTACAGTAAATGGTCCTGCTCAGTAATCCACGAACCTCGTTGAATAGGCGGACATCACCAGACTCTTAATATCAGACACGCCTCCGATTATGACCGGTCGACCTTGGGATTGTTAGATATCATTTTACGAGCATGCATTTTGACTAAAGCCCATCAAATTAAATGTGAGCAGAAAAAGAAAAAACGCTCACCTGTTCCTCAACTAAAAACGCTATCTCTTCAATGTATACCACGGCCATCATTTGCCATAGAGCATCACCCGGTCATCCTTGGATAGAGTTGAAAAAAAGGATATCCTGTAAAAATTCAGTTAGTAGCGCCAAAGGAGCGAAAAAGAAAAAAGAAAGTTCAGGATAACTAGGATTTGGTTAGTCCGCATTACGTGCATGCAATTGTACATGACGTTCGTAGATGTAGGTCAAATTTATTCATCAAGAATAAACGAGATGGTCAAAGGGCTCATTTATACGGTATTCTTGTACTGTACTTGAGCCTTGAGGCCTTGAGGTCTAAAACAACGTCGTGATTGATAACTTTAAGCGCTTGAGCTGGCAGACGCGTGGTTTAGCGCCTATCAATTCTCTAAAGTGAGAGCTTCATCCCCTTCATGCAACCCCTAGCCCTCATTCTGTGTACCTCCAAGACATGAGCCATTTCGCAATCACTTCGAGCAAAACAAGACAGCAAGACCACTGGCAGGAACTGGAATGCACTTCCCTCTCGTACTTGTCACGTTCAACGTACAACGGTCCTCCGGGAGGCCGTTTGGCGATGTGTGAGGCTAGTTTAAAGTAATCTTTACTGTTCGTCGAAGGAATGTAGACCAGCCTCGTTTGATTTCCTCGCAGCTCAATGCTTGGTTTAGGGCAACTTACATACCATCTCGGGCTCCAAGGTATATTTAAGCCCGGCGGGCACGGCCGGTGGAGTAGGGAATCCCGGCGTGTCGGCCCAGGGTTGGCGCTCGTATATAGGCTTGGTCACGCACGAGTCACGTTACCTCAACATTGTCTGAAAACGTCCATGACAGCTACTCATGGTTGACGCGGCATTCAAGCGAGATGAATAATATTATTGTGTATACTAATATGTACTGATAATGATATACTGGACAACATTGTAAGGACAGGAAGGGCAGGATGTGAAAACAAGGTAATATCAAAGGAATGAGCAGTATAAATGAATGGAAGTACATAGTCTCACAAACAGACTATACAAGAACGTTATAATAAAGTAGAGCGAGTGAAATAAACTACTCATGCAACCGCAACGGTATAAGTCTATCCGAGGTAGTAGACCGAGGCGTAGATGGATCGTTAAAGGGGTCCTGATTCCACCTGTCGGATTCCATGCTAGTCCCATTTCCCGATGAAGACTGCTGCGAATGAGGATTCCAAGATGCCAAGCGGGAATCACCGCTATTGTACTTGGAGGTCGTTATCGTGCGCGAGTCACGAACGGGGCTCGGATGATAATCCGAGGTAGAATTTGAATGAGTGACTGGTTCCGAACCGATGATGCTCGCGGCAGGAGATGCAAGACGAGAGGAGTGCTTTATTTCCATAGTCTGCATCGGCAGGTTGGAGTTTTCGAGTTCGGTGTCGACATCCTCCCGGCGAGGCGCGTGTTCAATGCTTATACCTAGCGTGGTTCGTACTAGAATAAGCATCGGTGCAATTCCCTGCATTTTTTCCAGTTAATATCAAGAGCAAACCTACAGAACAATTGAACGTACCACGATCTGCAAGAGAATGGGATCCATGGTGGCTGGTGAACCATGGACTTGGATAGCGAGACATATGATGAGGGCGATGGGATAGAGAGACCCTGATTCCAAGCTGAAAGTGACCGTAAATTATAATGCATAGGGAATACAAGATGGAAGATTGACGCACAACATAGAGATAATCGCGTTGTATCTTTTGTCCGAGGTTGCGGTGATACCGAATAGCTTGGCTGATGCGCGATTGAGATACCATAGTCTTCCCGCTACAGAAAGATGGTTGAGCACCATTTCCAAGTATAGGAACTAAGACTCGGAGCAGTAAAACGCAGGACATACCGATTAATGCGGTCAAAAGAACGTTGTTAAACACGTTTATAGCAAGGAATGCATAGAGGAGGGAGTCTCCAGCAGAGACTTGAGAGGATTGTCCGCCGGTAGCGAACTCCTCTGTGGAGCCTACTTGTATCTCGGCTGTGGACAAGAAAGCCATAACTTTGGATGGATGAGCCAAAGTTCGGACAGCGAAAAATTCGAACTACAAACTTGTATTTATAACGGAAAGAATGCTGGGGGCGATGACTGCCAGCCATTTTCCATTCCAGACGTAGTAACAACGATATACCTGGCAGTATACGTGAGTGTGAATAGGTATTGTCAAAGCGGAATACCACGTACGAGGATGATGTCGCCAACAAAGCTAGATTAGGAGTAAAAATGAGAAGCTTTTGAGAAAAACGAGAATGCTTACTTTGCCAGTGTATACACTACTCCGATGGCGGTCCTTGATTAAAATAACAGTCAATAATCGACGACTGCTACTATAATATCACGTTTACCTAGTCTTCACGAATGTTATCTCCCGAGCTGTTGGGTCCATTCCAACCATATTGACAAGAAGCAGTTGGATCAGGTTCCCAAGATCGAAGGTAGACATGAT